AAGGAAAAGAAAGAACCTGAAAGAGAAGAACAGTAGGAAACAGGCCTTAATAAGGGAGACATGGATAAAAATTGGGTTAGTTTAAGGGAGTGGGGAGGGAAGGGTATACAAGGAACCTAGGGGATAAAGGGAAAGAAGGAGCTCAGTGGAGGTAGGATCATAGGAGAAGGGTAAGGGAGAAGGGGGAAAATGGGGGCACCTTAAGTGGGAAAACTATAATGGAGGGGTGATACAATGCGAGAGATAAATAATGCCTAGTTAGTTTTGAAAACCAGAGGGAACCATATTACTCCAACAACCTACTGACAAATTATACACACCAGATCAAAATATATATATATAGGTAAGGTTTATCTGAGAACAATTGGTCTTTGCCCAAGATTTATCTACATAACACACAGTAATTAAAATTACCAGACTGAGTTCCAGGACAGCTGAGGCTACAGGGAGACCCTGTCTCAAAAGGACCAAAAAAAAAAAAAAAAAAGTACCAGACTGGTGGAACTAACCTTCTTGGATGTTTAACAGACATATTTTGAGGCCTATAATAATTTTGTTGGAGGGACAAAAAGGACAGTTTTTGCTCCTTGCCCTCCTAGGTCGACTAGTTGCAGGGGACTATGAGCATCTCTCAAAATGTCCTGTAATTGCAGTGGATCATCTGTCCTCTTGATCAAGGAGGTCGAGGAGACCCCACAAAATAATGGACTTGAACTAGTGTCCAGTCTATAAAGAAGAGGGTCAACACAGAGGAAACATTTCCTCCGTGCTTCCAAGTAAAGCCAGCCATGGTTGAGTAGGACCTTTGACTTATTTTCACATAGGCAGAACTGGTGAAAGAAAGGAGCCAGGGGCTCCTCCCAAGCCCATGTGACCCTTGAGGAACAGATCCTCTGACGACCTTAAGAGTAAAAATAAATTGGTTCATCTGGTCTAACTGTATGGCCTTAAACACCCAAAAGGAAAGTATAACCAAAGATTAAAGGGGCCAATATAATTTTTTAAGAGTCCATATGTATATTTAAAGGCTACATAAAAAGCAACACTGCCAGATAGGATATACCTTCTTTTGAGTTGTTGGCCAGGGTGGCCCAAGGGACTCCTAGATAGTAACCCAGCATAGAACTGGGAAAATGAACAGCAGACCCAAATCTTATCTAAAGGAATATTGACAACTGATTGCTACTAAATGAGGAACAGCTGACCTTCCTAAAACAAAGCCCTCTAGATAGGCTGACTAGATTCACCAGTGGACAAGTAGTGGGGAATGGCTAGAGGTGCCGACAACACAGCAGACAGTGGCAGGGATATCAGAGTATAAGGGCTCTAGTAGGGGGAGGGAGGCTATGGAAGGGTGCCATCTGGGAAGTGGGTGTATAGTTGAATAAGATGGTTTGGGATGTTCTGTGTGATACACACACACACACACACACACACACAAATCAACAAGTTTTTAAAAATGTATTATATTTGAGGAGGAAGCATGGAAATTTATGTTAATTAGTAGAGGTGATAAACAATACCATTGAAATCTACCCGATGACTTTATAGACATACACAGGCACCAAGGATCCAACTGCAATCGATTATGACTAGTAATAATCAGATACATACAGATTAGAGATGCATGTGCCAACATCTCAGTGTTAGTAGCAAAAACAATGAGTCTTTCTGCAAGGAACAATATATTCTAAATGAAATGGAGATCTTTTTTAAAGGTTAAAAAACTCACTCAATTTTATGTCTTACAGGGCTTATACTGAGTTCAATATTGTATAACTGTATTAATTGTGAACCTAGAAACTTGTACCCACTTGTGAAAGAGATGTACTCTTGCTCTGGAGTGTGTTACTGAATATGTTAAAGCTGTAATGAAATGCTTCTCCTAATCATGTAGTTATTAAAAATTTATAAAAAAAAATGACTCAAATAAGCCTCTTAACACCCCCTGATGTCAGGGATGTGGAGCAACTAAAACTCTCATGTGTTGCTTGTGGAAATACAAAATGGTATGCATAATTTATAGTTGACTATATAGGGGTTGGGGAGATGGCTTAGTGAGTAAGGGTTAGGTCTGCAAGCATGAGGACCTGAGTTCAAATCTCCAATAAAAAGCCAGGCTTGGCTATGGGTGCCTGAAACCCCAGCACTAGGGAGGTAGAAACAGGCAGATCTTGGGAGCTGGCCAGTCCACCTAGCCAAAACCACAGGCTTCCAATTCAGTGAGAGACTCTATCTCAAAGCAATAAGGAGAACAACAGAGGAAGATACCTGAAGTCCTGCTTTGGCCTTCACATGTACGTACCCCACACATTCTCATGCTTTAAGACCTATATTGTCCTATTTTCTATGAAAGGTTGGAACTTTCATGTGGTGCTTTTTATTTTGTTTTGTTATGTGTTTGAGAGAGTCTCACTATGCAGCTTAGACAGGCCTCAAATACATAGCAATCCTCCTGCTTCAGCATTTCAGTGCTCTGATTATAGACATATTGTGCCCAGCACCCTTTATCTTTGGAGAGCGAGAAACTCGGTAATGAATTCTGAGGACTGTGCCCTGACAAGGATTAGAACTAGTGCTTCCCTTTCCCACGAACCCCAAGAATAACAGAGGATTTGCTATTACATTCACAGTGAGGAGTCTACAAAGCATGGAGATACCTCTCAACATGCATGCCAGCAATGATACATTCCAAAGAACTACGTCACTCATTCACCCAAATATGGATAAAGATCTCCTTGGGGTATAGCCCTTCTTGAGGCTGTTTTATAAGATATCTGGACCTCTTGTCTCTTTATTTGTAGTCACATAGAATATTTTCTGCAAAATATCTTACCCTGATCAATAACCATCTTGCTCAAGAACATTATTTTCAAGGGAATATTGACTATTTCTCTAATTCAAACTCACCCTGAAGAGATAAAAATTTGTCATAACTAAGAATATTTGAAATGAGTTAAAGGGAAAAAAGTTCTTTGTAATGCTTTGAGTCTCCCAGAGGGACTCAAGGAATAGAAAAGTAGCCTAAGGGGTGAGCACTGAGGTCTCCATCAAGGAGAAGTTACAGCAAAGGAAAATATGCTAAGAAGATTCAAGTCCAACCTGGATACAAATGTGATCACTGCTAATGCCCCAACATGTTCACATTCTTGATGGAAATGAGTCCTGAGCATGATAACTGTGGCTCTCAAACCATGATCCTTGGAGTATCTTGGGGAGACACAGGAATGTCTTTGACTGAAGCTTGATCATGCTGAGGCTTGAGAGTCTTTGAGCTAGAGCAGCACCCAGTTGTCACAGGCCTTTCCCGTCCTCCCCAGTATGTAGCACAAGAAATGACATGGATTTTCGTTTCCTTGCTTTCTACAGCCACCTACCTCCAGGAACTGTTGCAGTATGAGCATGCTGGGGTTCATATCGTCCATCACAAGAGTGTGTAGCATGTCATCTAAGGCCTGGTTCGTCTGACAAGTGAGGAGACACATGGTGTAGAAGACGATGGATGCCACATGGCTGGCCCAGCTCCCTAGGGACACTCCCATCCTTCTACTCTTCCGCAGTATGAAGGAAGGGGGAGCCCGGTATCTGCTTACATAGTCACTCTGGTCTTTCTTAGTGTTGATCTTTCTTGGCCTCCCTAAAGGTGAGACCAGGCCCACCTCAAATTGTCACCACTAGTGAACTGTAGGCACTGGGAAGTTTTCCCCAACTAAGTCAGTCCCCTTGGGATTCTCAGGATGAAAGAGTCATTCTACCAGATTAAAAAGATGTCTATGTTTTTGGATTTGGGGTTTTTTGTTTGTTTGTTTTCCAGTTCTAGGGATTGAAACCAAGGCCTTTTGGGTGCTAAACAAATGCTTTACCATTGAGCTGCATTCCCAGGCCAAGGATACTTCTAATTTTAAACTAAATATCCTTGGGAAAATTAGGCAGCTTCCCAGCCAATTGTTCTATAGAATCTATGGATTTTATTTGTTAGATTGTCTGTTCTCAAGACTAAGGCTGGCATGTGAGCTTTAGCGAGAGAGAATGTGGGCACAGGCCATTCCCTGGAAAGCTGTGGGGAGGATAAAACAGCCCAGGATTCCAGCAAGCAGAATGGCGGTCGTGGGGCCCTGGGCTCCTAAAGGAGGAGTCAGAGGATGAGGAAGGCCAGGAAGCTGAGCAAGCAGGAAGTGACTCACAAGACAAATCCACCACAATGGAGATCTCCAGCAAGAGGCAATGGTGGGGGTTACCTGGAGGTAGAGACTAGCACTCTCCTTTCGGTCTAGACTGGGCATGATAAGCGGCAGGGAGAACACACTGGTGATGCTAACGTTGACCAGGTCCAGTTTCTGGCATAAATGGAAAGGTGGATTCACCTGGCTGGGGGAATTGAAGAATAATAAAAGGCTTGGGCATTCCTTGTGAGGCTGAGGTATATTTCCAGGACCCTCTGGATAACCTGTTCTGCTCTGAGATACAGAAAACTGTGGACCACTTTCTAGAGACCCTTTGCCAAGGTGGGAGGACCCTGGTTGGGGGAGGCTTCCCAACCCTAGATGCTCTAATAGATTTCCAAAAGCTCCCCAATCCCAGAATGCAGGCAGATAAGTGGCAACCATGGGCTCTACCACCCTCAGACCCTGATAAAGTTCCCAAGCTTTGCCCTTCCTTTCAACCCAAATGTTCTCAGCATCAAAGTCCCAGGGGCTGTGAGAAGATCCCTGCAGGAAGGAACCTCAGGGCCACGATGCAGAACATGGCTTGCTGACGCACACTGCTGTCCAAGATCTCAATGGGTTCTTCCAGGATGATTGTCTAGAAAAACCAGGGGAAGAAATGAGAATTTCCCTCACAGAGGGACATCAGCACCAGCCCTTGGGACTAGAACTTTAACTTTCCACCCTGAATGACCAATTCTCAAAAGAGCTATGTTCTTTCTCACCTCAATTTTCTTGGCCAGGAGAGTTTTGGGATAGTAATCGTTCATGTTGCCATTTGCCTGGGAATGCACAGCGCTGCTCAAAGTTTCCACAGCTCTCAGGAAACTCAACTTGTCCACCTGAGACTAGGACAGAAGACAGAGACTCTTGGAAGTCCCTAAGCAGCGCCTGAGACCTGTACCCTACACTCTGCCGCTCATACCCAAGCCCAGACTCAACCCAACTAGACCAAACTATAGACTGTGTCCCAGTGCCCTGGATGGTGCTCACCCATATCTGAGCCTTTGTAGCCCTCTGGGACAGCAAGGCAAGGTGTCTCCAAGAAAGACCCTTCAGAGAGACAGGAAGAGTGCTCTACCCTGTCAAGTGGCCTGGCCTTAGAGAATTCCCCCAGTTCAAAAGTCACTAATAAGCTGACTTTAAGGTGGCTTCCAAGCCAGGGCTAGGGAAGCATGAACTTTCAGATTTTTCTACTTTCTTCATCAGTTCTCAAAAAGTCTTAAAGAATTTTCTTACCATCTGTCCTGGTTCCATAAATTGCATAATTAAATGATAGGCTTCTCTTTCTGATTGGCGCAGTCCTGAAAAGGGGTGTCATTGGAGGAGATTAGCTGGCTTTATCAGGTTGTCTAGTAAGGCACAGCATCTCTTTTCTTCACCCTCCATCAACAAGACTCTGAAACCACCCAGATACCTTGTGGGCATACGCAGCACCTCTCATGTGAACTTCGGAAGCCAAAGTGGAAGATATTTAGATACGGACTTAAGAGATTTTCTGTATCAGTCATGGCCATGGATGGAAGACTGACTGGAAAGAGGGAGGCCTTTAAGTCAGTCTCAGTGGCCACAGGTCTCTGGAACTATCCAACACTAGCCTTTAAATTCCTGGTTGTGAAGGAACTTGAAGCCCCAAGTCAGCCTTGGCAAAGAACCTTTCATATCAACTAGTGTGGTGGGATGTATAACCTTAAGGGTCTGCCACAATGAGAAGTGACTCATGGGAAGGAGGCTAGGAAAAGAGCCTGATGCCCCAAGTTGAATCCAGAGGGGATAAAGCAAAAGAATGGAGACTGTGGCAGCACTGGGCCCCAAAGCAACAGAGGTAATGGGCCTAAGTTCAGGCTACTGCTATCCTTTCACATCATCCTATAGACATGAGATCCCAGGGCAGGGATCCTATAGACATGAGGCCCCAGGACAGGGGTTGAAGCCAAAACACAGCTTAAAAACAACCACTCCAGCTTCAAATTGTTTTGCTGCATCAAAGTTCAGCCCTTCTACTTCACTAGCCCTGTGGCTTTCAGCAAATGAAACTCTCACTCCAATTTCCTCAGCTGTGTAATGGGGAAGATGAACCTCCATGTTGTGGGGCCCAATGAACTAATGTAGGCAGAGTGATCTTCAGCAAATTCAGTGCCCTCATGGGGCCTAGTACAGTAATATATACCCTTAATCCCAGCATTTAAAAGGTAGAAGCAGGAGGATCAGGCATTCAAGGTTATCCTCAGTTATATAGCAAGGCTAAGGCCAACCTGGGTTGCATGAGACCCTGTCTCAAAAAAAAAAAAAAAAAAAAAATGTCGCCGGGTGTGGTGGCACACACCTTTAATCCCAGTACTTGGGAGGCAGAGGCAGGCAGATCTCTGTGAGTTTGAGGCCAGCCTGGTCTCCATAGTGAATCCAGGATAGCTGGGGCTACAGGGAGACCCTGTCTCAAAAAGACTGAAAAAAAAAAATGTCTTTAAAGTGATCAGTTGAGAGACTGTAACTGACTAATGGTGGCTCACACCAAGGGAGGTAGTTAGCAGCAAATGGTCAGATTTGGTGTCTATTTTGAAAATCAGTAGGAATAGTTGTTAGACAGAAGTGAGTCTGAGAGAAAGAAGCTGAGATTATTTTAGGGTTAGGAGTGTAGCTCAGTAGCAGAGCACTTACCTAACATGCTGAAGGTATGATCCTGGGTTTGATCCCCAGCAACACAACAAAACAAACTTTAACTAGACATAGTGGCATACATCTATATTCCAAGCACTTGGGAGACTGAAGCAGGAGTATGTTGAGTTTGAGGCCAGCCTGAGTGACATAGTTGAGTCCCAAGTTGCCTGGATGACATTGTGAAACTTTGTCTCAAACAAAACAAAACAACACATCTGAATGTGGAGGTACACACCTGTAAACTAGCACTTGGGAGGCAGAGGCAGAAGGATCACTCCAAGTTTGAGGCCAACATGATCTACAAAAGAAATTCCAGACCAGCCAGTGCTACATAGCAAGACTCTGCCTCAAAAAAAAAAAAAAAAAAAAAAAAAAACCCAAACATCTGGGTGTGGTGGAATGTGCCTTTGATACCAGCATTCTGGAAGCTCAAGCAGGAGGATCTCTGAGTTTGAAGTCAGCCTGGCCTACATAGCAAGTTCCAGGCCAGTCAGGGCTACATAATAAGACCCTATCTCAATCAACCAATCAATCAATCAATCAATCAATCAATCAATCAATCAGTCAGTCAGTAAGTAAATAAGTAAAGTAAGTAAATAAGTAATAAATAAATAAATAATAAGTTAATAAGTAAAGTAAATAAATTGGGGGGCTGAGAAACTAGAAGGATTGGGTTGTCATTCATTGATCTGGGGAGCTCTGAAAGAAGGTCATAAAGGTGGGGTTCGGTTCGAGCATGGAACATTTTGATTTTGAGATGTCTACTGGGCATCAAAGTATGACTATGAATAAGTTATTGGGCAAGGAATGGTGGTACATCCCTGTAATCCCAGCCAATGGAGAAACTGAGGCAAGATGATCACAAGTTCAAGGCCAGCCTGGGCAAGTTAGCAAGACTTTGTCAAAAAAAGCTAATAAAATGGCTCAACAGATAAAGACACTAGCTACTAAGCCTGTCAGCCTGAATTCAATCCCCTAGAGATTGAATATTTTCTCTCACATGGTAGAGAAAAGTAACTCCCACAAGTTGTCCTCTGACCTTCACACTCATGCTGAAACATGTTTGTGCATAGCACATATGCATGCACACAATAAATAAAATGGAAAATAAAAATGGGGGATGGGGACATAAGAACCTGGAACTTGGGAACTGCTGAACTACAGGTGTCAGGTGGTTGTTGACATTTAGCCATATAGGTGGTATATAAAGATAAGCTCTGGCTCCCCTCAACAGCAAGGTGTCTCTAGGTAAGCTTTCACCAAAGTCTCAGACAATATCATGTGCCCAGCTCAGCTCCAGGCTTCTCAGGGAGACAGGCCTGGGAAAAAGATAGGCTTACAGAGCTGTGGAAGGGATTAGCCAGAAGTAGGCAGGCTTGTGCTCTTTGAGTGACATCTTCAACAAGGGCCAGCCATCAGCACCACTTCCGTGTTACAGTTAGAGAGAGAGCCAGGTCTGGGCCCAACTGCTCACCTGATAAACTTGGTATCAAGATCTCATTGTAAGTTGATGGCTGAAATGTTACTCTATCTGGTGTTTTCCTATTAGGATAAGGATTCATCTGCACACCCAGGACAGCACTCAGCAGCTTGTGATGAGATCAGCAGTCAAGTCTGGTGAAAGTCAGCTCTTCCTGGGGATTCAGCTTCAGCACTTAAGGGGGAGATTGCAGGAGGCAGCCTGGCCATTTATAAGAAAAGGTGGGGTTGGAGATGTAGTTCAATAATAAAGCAGAGGCTCTAAACCTCATCTCCAGAATGGGAGTAAGAGGTAAACAAAACAAAACACAACTACAAGAAAAGAAATTAGCTAAGCAGAGCCTGTGCTGGGTCACCTCTGTTAGCTTCCCTGTTCATCCCTGTAGGAAGGTGCAGGACCCCTGGGAGACCTTTGACTCCTCGTGGCTTGCACAGGCATCTTCCATCCCATTTCAGCCCTATGGTGGGGGAAACTAAAAGTGCTACATGTCCCAGTCGTGGCCCAGGAAAACCAGCTTGTGCACAGGAAGAAACTGCTGCTTAATCGGGTCCTCAAATTGGGAATGTCATGGCTGATGGTTCTTAAAAGAGCCATGCTGTTCCCTCTTTTGTCTCCCCATCTGTTCAAATGACTCTTTTCTCCTAGAAAGGCTATCTCCAGGGAACTCAAGCTTACCCTGGACCTAACATGTAACAAGTGGCTAAAATGCAAAATCAGGGGCTGGAGAGATTGCTCAGTAGTTAAGAGCACTGGTTGCTCTTCCAGAGGACCTGGGTTTGGTTCCCAGCACCCATATGGCAGCTAACAATCATCATTAACTCCAGTTCCAGGGGACACGATGCATTCCTCTGGCTTTTGTAGGCATCATACCACATGGGTGCACTTACATACATGTAGGCAAAATACTAATACACATAAAATAAAAATATTTTTAAAATTAAAATACAAAATCAAGTGCTTGCCTAGCATACATGAAACCCTGGGTTCCATCCCCAGCACAGCAAAATAAAGTACAAACTCATGAAAATAAATAAAATTCCAGATCAAGTACCCTGCTACCCATAATTCATAGTTAAGGTCTAAGATCAGGACACCCACAACTTCTCCAGAGGCTCTGGAGATATCTCCCCTCCTAGCCCAACCCCCAACATGGAACAACTCCCAGGCCTAAGGAAGCCAGGCTCTTGAAGCTCAGAGTCCCTCAGTCCTAGGGCTGAGAACCCAGGACAGGGCTGAAGTCACCCCTACGTAGCCATCTTCCTAAACCTCTGTGACCAGCCTCTTCCTTGGCTGTGGAGAGGGACAAACAGGGCCCCCTTTACCTGACAGACTGGCTACCTCAGACTCAGGCCACAAGCTGCTGTGCACTGGCACCTGCAGGGGGCAGCCTGCTCCCAGGTCCTCAGCACCCCCTACAGGGCAGTCAAGGGTGGTCTCAGTTGCAGCTCCAACCTGCACCCTGGTGAAGGGAGGGGCTGTGGGCACTTCTGCAGAAATACAAAAGGGGTCTTGAAGACAGCCTCTCCTCACAGGAGTTTCTTATAAGCCTCTCAATACTGCCTGGCCTGGCCCAGATGAAAAAAGAACTGAGGCTACCACAAAGCTTTATCTCTTTTGAGGAAGTGACTTCCAGAGTCCAACTCTCAGGTCCAGGAGAACCTGGGGAGCTGTGCCAGGGTTGTGCTACTTCTTTTCTGTCAGGGAAACATCCTGAGAGCCCACCTCCACCTCACCACCCCTCCCATTCCCCAGAGACCTGGCCAGGCCAGTTTAAGAAGCCAGGTAACTTGGCTGCCTTGGTCAGACACTCTGAGGGCCTGGGTACAACTTCTATTCAGAAAACTTGGCACACACGCGCACAAAAACATTCTCAGCTGGGCCAATCAGACTTTATTGAAGTATTTGGCACAAAGATCCAGGGTTCCAGCACGGCAGCTAAGGGCACCACCACTATGCAACTGCCCCAAACAGCTGTTAGGAAGGACCAATAAGTTAATGTGAAGGATGCTCAGGTGTGGGGAGGAAGCAGGACTCAGAAGTCTCCCAGCTCTATGACAGCTGCTTAGTGTCCCTGGGAAGGCACTGGGAGGTGGGCAGCTATATACTGGGTAAGGGGACTCAGAAACCAGACAAACCAAAGTATGACATTCAAACACAATGCAGAAAGTGGGGACTACTACTGCAGGGTGTGGTAAGACCACAGTGAAAGAAATGCCCTGTGCAGGCCCTCAAACTCTCCTAGCCTCCCCAATTCCTGACACTTCTCCTTCCGGTCCCTCAGTGCAATGGGCACTCCGCTTTTCTCCTAAGCAGGAGAAATACACCATTGGAGTCAGGCATCAATGTTCTTCCAGTCCAGAGAAGCTGAAGAGTCTGCCCAGGTAAAATCAGAATATAGCTGTCCCTACCTTTCTAGTTGCTCCTAGGGAAGAAAACTACTTGGGCATCTGACCTGGCAGCAAAGCACCAGAAACTAGAATACACAAGTGGTTTTAGCAGAGGCAGCTTTATGGCTTGCGTCGTCTCAGGAGCTGGGACACTTCATTCGTGCCCTCTAAGGCAATCCAGCATCACATGAGGGTTCTGCAATGACCTTTTGAATGTGAATAAATAAGGGCTTTCTCAGCAAGGAAGCTGGCTGGGTAGAAGAAAGCAGTAACTGCCTCCCCACACCTAAATATGCCACAAAAGTGGTACTTTAAAATATTTGCAAGGTACTGGTTTCTAGGTATGTGATGGAAAGATTTTAGAGGGAGTAGTGAAATGTCTAGCCCTCACAATGCTCAGTAGTAGTTGTCAAAGGGTGAGTTACCCCCACCCCAGATCCCTGATGCGACAATCTAATGTGGCCCCAAACTCCAAGCTCAGAGGTCTGGGAGCCCCGCGATATGAAGACATAAGAGTGACTGGGGTTGCTAAAGATTTATGGAATCAGGAAAATGGCAGGCAAACTCCACCAGGATATACTGACCTTTCACTACCACTGGGTGTGCATCACAGAGCACATAAAGGGGGAAGAGTCTCACCTAGCGTTTGGTACCCAGACATCTGGGAAATGGGGGAGGGTCCTATGCACCAGTGTGTCCCACCGCCAGCCTCTAGCAATAAGGACCAGGAACTGTTCTATCTCAGATACAAAGCATAGAGGGTTTGAGGAATCCCAAGTTGGCCCTCTTTATCACTTGTCTTACAGGAGACAAAGGCTGTCAATCAGCCCAGCAAGGCCTTAAGTCTAAGAGGCCAGACTGGGGGATGAAGTATAATCGTATTACAGGGACTTTGAGGACAAATCACAGATATAAACCCTCAGATCCGGGTTTCTCAAAAACACTTGTGTAAAAAACAAAGAAAGGTTTCAGCTCCAGGTCATCGGCCTGCGATGGGAGTGGGGGAACCAAAAGAGGCACTCAAGGGTGAAGGGGTCTCAGCCCCAGCCCCAATATGAAACAGTCTTTTTCAGCATTGGTCAAGGCTTTCAGAATAGAGTTACACTTGACTGATGATCTCTCCATTCTCAGGCACGAAGACTTGCACAGGGGCCCCCTCTGGTGATCTCCGGAGTACACACACTGTGGGCACCTGTCACAGGCAGGAAATAAGAGGTGTGAGCAAACTGGGTGGAAAAGTCAGCACAGCCAGCCCAGTTACAACATCCTTTTTGCTTAAAGGCACAGACCGATAGGAGTGGGCCCTGGTGCTCAGCCCCTGCCTTCCTCAAGAACTATGTTCCCAGGGATTACCCTTGATTCATTTACCACTCCAGGTCCTTTGGGGTGTGTGACCTTCTTCCCTACCTTTCCTGGGCTCATGTCTCATCACTCTCCCTGTCTGGCAGGTTGGGATGAGCCAGGCCTAGGCCAATGACAGGTTTAAGCGTGTAAGAAAGGAAAAGCACGTCAGCTGGAAGGTGTGGCCTGGGACTGGGCCAGGATGCTGCCTAGCCAGGGATGGCAGCTGCAGCCCAAAGAACTTGGGGGTGGGGTGCTGCAGCTGGGCTGCTGGGAATCTGGGGTCTCAAAGAAGCAGCCTATTGGTAACTTCTGGAGTATGTCCCCTGCAGAGCCCTCTGTATCAGGAAGGGAAAATAAAGGAAGGATTCATGCCTGCTAGTCTCACTCCCACAATGAAGAAACAGAGCTCATAGAAACCAAAGATAAACCCAACTCTATCCAATGTCAGGGTGCTCTTAATTCTACATACTCCCCTTACAACTCACCCCCTGACCTCTGGGGAGTTAGATGGCAATGCTCTCACTAATCTAGCACTCCTTACTCTAATCATTTTAGCCTCTTAACCACCCTATGAGATGGGTTCTGTACTATGTTCATCTTTCAGTGGGGGAAACAGAAGCCCCCAAAAGTTAAGTAACCTGCTTAATATAGAGCTTAAGAAGCAGAGCTGGGATTTGAACTAGAGACCCACACTCTTAACTATGAGGCCACCTGCTTCTCAGTTTGGTGCTTCAAGGGATTTCAGGGAGGAATCTGGCAGTGAGGCAATCACAGGTTCTGTTTTCTGCAAACCCATTTCCAGACTTTTCCTTTGTCCTGGGCCCTCAAATCAGGAAATTCCAAGGGTTAATTTAGGTTGGACATTTGGTTAGGAGGGAATTTATCTGTTCTGTGGATCATCTGTAGCGCCATTAGGGGGAAAATGTCTCTATCTGCGCAGATCATCTCTACCAGGGCACATCGGTATGTGCTCTGGGGCTAGACATGGTGGGCAAAATTAGGAGGTGCCTCGGGGAAGTTAAGAGTGCCAAGAGGAAACGCTCATTTTGGCTTGATCTTCCCCACTGGGGATTACTTGGCCCCTAGGCTGCCGGTCTGATGTCTTCCTCAGAGGGCTACAGGTCTCTCCAATAGGGCTGTACCTGTGTCCGGGGTACCGGGGCTCGCCCGAAGCTCTCTCTCCCGAGAGGCAGGCTCCTGACTCGGAAAGCCCCTTGGCGGTCGAGCGAGTGCGGGCGGCTGCTCCGGAGGCGTGCCCGCTCGTGCCACCACTTGAGCTCCTCGGAGACCGCTGCTTTGCTGAGCCCCCGGCCCGCAGGGTTGTCCTTCAGCGAAGGTGTCCGCACAATGCGGCTGTGCGATGGCACCAGCCGCTGGTAGCGCAGGGGTGCGCTCTCCTCCAGGGCGGCACCCAGGGCGGTGCGGCACAGCTCCCACTCGCCCGGTGGTAGGTGGCTCTCGGCCACCATCACACAGCGCCCAGTTGGGAAGTACCCTGGAGGCAGCAGCAACTTGGGGTAGTGGGCAGTCAGCTCTCTGCCGTAGGCCGGGCCCCAGGCGCCCTGGTGGCGAGGTGGCTCAGGAGGACAGAGGGGCCGCAGAAAAGAGATGTCAGGGCTGCTGCTGCCAGGCGAGGTGGGGTGGGAGATGCTGGAGACGTCAGAGCCGCTGTCTTCCGAGCAGGAGTGGCAGGCAGGATGCGGCAGCGGGGGCTTGCTGGGTGCAAAGCATGAGTCCGGCACTGTCACCGTGTAGTGAGTGGGTCGGCGGCGGGGAAAGGCACTGCGACCTCGAGTCTCAGCACCGGCTCGGAAGGAGTCCACCCTGAAGAGCAAAGCAGGGAAGAAAGGGACTACATTGGAGGGATGAGTTAGAATCCTGGAGGCCAGGGTTCTACCCCATGCCAAGGCAATGAGCACATGCTTGATCTTAGGTCAGACCTCCTCTGTGCTAATAACTGTCTTGTCCTAATATGCAGACAGAGCACATTCCCTCCCTGCATGCTAGACCACCCTTGCTCCATCCACACACAGGTGGTTCCTGTAAAGCACAGCACCCTTCCAGCATTTTCCACACCTGGGTAGACTGACGCCACAATTTTCATAGCTTACAAAACCCAGGTCTCAATCCCTTACATAAAATGGGGATATATTACATACAATCTACCATACTTCATCCTATAGACTTTAAATCATCTCTGGGGTATTTATAATACCTAATATGGTGTAATGTTATGTAACTAGTTCTCATACTGTACTACTTGGGAATAATGACAAGAAAAGTCTATAGGACAGAGGATGTGGCTCAGAGCTAAGAGTGCTTGCCTAGCAAGAGCAAAACCCTAGGTTCAATCCCCAGTCCTGCAAAAAGAGTTTGTATGAATCCCATAGAAATGCAATTTTGGGGGAGGGGAGGGGACTTTTTGAGACAAGGTCTCCCTGTAGCCCCAGTTGGCCTGGAACTCACTATGTAGTCAGGGTTGGCCTTGAACTCACAGAGATCAGCCTGCCTCTGCCTCCAGAGTGTTGGGACTAAAGGTGTGCACCACCACACCCAGCTTGAGATGCAGTTTTTTTAAAAGAGTATTTTTGATTTCTCAGCTGATTCAAGCCACACATAGGGAAGGTGAACACTATGCTACATCCATGCCACGTATTTTCAGCTAGCTGGGGTACACTGTGTTCAGTAGTACTTCATTCACAGACATAGTCAAGCACCTAACAAGTGTGAAAAGCATTCACATGGTCCAGGACAGGTGCATGAAGCCCAGAATGAGAGAGGGCTAAAACTTAGCTCTTACTCTGCTTGACTGATCATAGGGTTGTGTTGCCTTTTTTAAAAATTTGCACCAAGAGGGCCTCAAGAGATAGCTCAGCAGTTCAGAGTACCAGCTGCTCTTGCAGAGGACCTGGGTTCAGTTCCCAACATCCACATGGTGGCTAGCAACCATCTGTAATCTCAATTCCAGGGGATCCAATGCCCTCTTCTGGTCTCCAAGGGCACTGCACAACACAGGTGCACGTACATGCATACAGGCATAACACTCATACACATAAAATAAAAATAATTTTTTAAAAAAGTTTAAAAATGTTTTTAATTTGAAAAGGCATTGTTTATAAAATGACCTTGATAGTAAGTAAAATATAAAATATACCGTTTACTTCAGAGCTGTTACACCTGGTCCTATGCTAGCTGATAAACTGAAGAGGCTTTGATGGTACTGGGGTATGGCTAATTCAGCTTCTCATAACTCCTTGATTAGAACTATTACCAAGTAGCAGGGGCTTGGAAAGAAATATGCAATTCTCATTATTGTTAGGTTCAGTATCTGTGAATTCACCTACTTGCTAAAATTAGCTAAATAGCATATTTGTAATGGTTAATACTGCCAACTTGACAGGACCTACAATCACCTAGGAGACAAAAGTATGCCTTCTCTGCCATGATGGACAGCACCCTCAAACCGTGAGTCAAAATAAACTTCTTTCCTTCCCTAAGTTGCTTTTGTCAGGTATATTGTCACAGCAATGGAAAAAGTAACTCAGTATTCATTCTCACTTGATGACGTTCCCTGAACTGCAAAGAATTTGAACTGCTTTAAGTGCACATCTCCAACAGAGACTGAGGAAGAATAAGTGAACTTGGTGGTACATGGTACAGCACTGGGGAGGCTGAGGCAGGAGGACAATGAATTTAAGGCAGGCCAGACTATATAGAAAAATGTCATCTAAAAAACAAGGGCCAGGGGCATGCAGAGAACTTCCCTACCATTCATGAGGCCCTGGGCCCCATCTCTAGCACTGCCCCACAAATGAAACAAAACTAAATAAAAGACCATATGCTGCCATTTTGTTTCATTTTCAGACTGTAAACTAGGGTCCTTTCCGTGGCATTACTCAGTGATTTTTTTTTTTTCATTTTTGTGCTTTGGGTTGGTGATTTTACTATTTAAGATGGCCCCCACAGGTAATGTTTAAGTGTAGTCTACAGTTTCTAAGTACAAGATGGCTGTGATACACCTTGTAGAGAAAGACCAGTATATCAGCTTCATTCAGACATCAGTTACAGTGTCACAGGTTTTGAGTTCAGTGTTCACAGATATATTATTTTTAAACAGAAACTCATGCAAAACAAGGACATATGTACTGATCAGTTAATGAACAACACTGTGACCAAAGGCTTACAGGAAGCTAACCCTATATTCCCACTACAGAAGATTGTGTTTACAGCTATTTTATAACTAGACCATAACTACCATGAATAATGAGAACCAATGGACATCAACTGAAAAAGAGAACTACCCATTGTTAGTGAGCAACAATAAAACAATCATGAAAATATCCACCAGCACAACAAAACAGGGCAAGGATAGAAACCTTGGGTCAAGTTAACAAACAAAACTGGAGTCACTGAAAGGAAACGTCTTCCTCCATGGATGAAATGTTTTGGGTTCTGCTGGAATGTAGTGTCTGTGGCAAGGCACCCCAGAAAGGAATCCACAGGAACACCCAAGGTGCTGGCCATGTGTCACCCAGGGTGTCTCACCTGTATCTTTGAAGCTCCTACCCTCCAACTGTAGCTTGAGAAGGAAATGGGATATCTCTGAACCGCTAGGGTAGGTGCTCTTACCTCAGAGACTGTGACTGGCCCCTCCTGCCTTGCATCTCGGGGGTGGCTGGGGCACTGGTGCGGCCCTGCCGCTGGCCAGGAACATTTCGCATGGGGACCACATGATAGGAGGCAGGATCCAGCAGCCACAGGCTGGAGGCACTGGGCCGGTCCTGTGGAGTGGTGGCCGGACTGCTGAAAAGAGGTTGGAGATAAGTCAGTGACAGGACTGTCTTCATTAAAGGGCTCAAGCAATAAAGAATGGGGACACGGTGAAAAGGGGCCCCAAAGGTAGTGGTGCAAACTGGAAGCACCGAGGAGCCACCAGTGTTCATACCTCTACCATCACACAGCTAAGGAAAGAGTGATCTCCCCCACCTTGCCACCCACCTGCCCAGCCGGGGCCACCCTGGCATTTCCTACCTGCTCCTGGCCCTCCCCTCACTGACCTGGACTCGCTATTGGGCTCAGAAGACTTCCTAGGCTTCTCATAGGGGTGGTCAAGGCTGGTCTCTTTCCATGGACTGTTTTGGATCGGGGCCCGCTCTAAGCTCCCAGGCTCAGGTGCTGCTGGTTGTAGCCCCTCAAGACTCTGGGGTGGAAGAGGCCGGGAAGGTGGGGCTGGGGACTCTGGAGGAGGTTTTGGTACTTGGGAGTCTTCTGCAGGAGTAGAAGAAACCACAGAGACTGGAGAAACCTGCTTAGCAAGAACTTCCACAGCCCGTGCTTCACTCTCCCTCCCATGTCTGGCTTGACCTAGTGCTCTAGGCCACAGCCCCCATCTCAGATAAGAAAAATTGCTTTCTTCTTCTTTGGAACTCCCTCCTTTTCAGCCCTATTTTACACCTGTCTCCTTGAAGAAGTCTTGCCAGCTGACTCTGCTTGGCTGTCACTACTACACCTTCTAGCTTGCTCATGGTGCCTATCTCCACCTAACCTTTTATCTAGTTTTATTGTTCCTGCCTCACCTATATGCCCTGTTTCCTTATTGGCCTGGAAACACCCTGGGCAGGACACCTTCTAGGTCCACTTTGACCCTGATATCCTCAGTACTTGTAAGCATGGTTCTTAATTCATGGATTTACGTTTCCTTCCCAGTGCTACCTTCTTTACAAAGCTGCCAAAGACTGTGAGCAGACCGCTCATTGGCTCTAACTGATTTCACCTGAAATACAGCCTCAGGTGGAAGGAGAGACACCTGGGGTTAAGAGGCCAAGCTGGACTTTACCTTTCCCTTCCCCTTCTTTGTCAAAAGAATCCATTGAGAGAGAGGGATGCTCAGCAGCACATCCTCTCTTAACTGGGCACGTGCCCAGACACACAGAAACTGACTTCAGGTCTGAGTGAGACCCTCAGCTGGTACCTCTGCCTTTACCAGCTCCCTACACTCTAGTCTCATTGGAAGTCCTCACTAGCAAACTCTGCCAAATCCCCATAGTCTTGCATAGGAGTCCAGCCTTGACTATGTCCCCAAACTGTCCTTCTCACCTTCCTCCAAGAGTAGCCCATCAGATAGGGAGCTGTCATCAGAGGCACTGAGCTCTGGGGAAAAGAATCAAAGGGGAGGAAAGAGAAGGAAGTGAGACAATTAACCCATAGTTAAGAATAACTAGCAACAGTGAGCAAACCCTAGCCCAATTCCTCTCCCAGGACAGCAACCATTACTAGGAAATACCCACTATGTGCTAAACAATGTGTCGTGAACTTATTACTTAGAAGCAGAACAACATCCATATTAGTCAGGGGCTAGGAGACAGGAAATGTGATTTTAATCTTGGCTCTATCATTAACCACACAACCTAGATAAGCCATTTCAGGATCACAGTTTTCCCACCCATCAACAAGCAGGACTTTCTAATAACAAAAGGGTAAGGCAAAGAGCCATGTAGAAAGATTCTTAGGATGAAAACAATTTTGCCCGTGTTTCTAATCTTCCAACATCACAAAAGCAACTCAACTCAAGGGTCTCAAATCTAAAAATTCCTGCAATACCCACAACCAGAGTAGTGGGGGTGGGAATCTGAGCTGTGAGGCTATGAGGCCAATTGAAGTTAAGGTCTGGGCAGCTGGCCCTAGGGAGCAGTCTTTGGCTAGAGATATGCAAATCACCTGAGGAAAATGAGTATGCAATTCTATGTGAAACAACAGCAGCAGTTGTCACCCAGGAAATCAGGGGGAGCTTATTTTTACTGCTGCCCTTGAAGAGATGTAATGAGTTGGAGCTTAAGGCTAAGCCTGAGAGACCCAGATGGACCTCAAGGCATCAACTGTTTGAAAATGAAGATGAGGAAAAATTAATGATGTCTAATGCTTCTACTGTACCAATAGTTTCCTAAATATGTTACATATATCCATGCAACCTTCATAACAACTACATAAGGTAGATACTACTGACTCCACGTAATTGAGGAAACTGAGTCTTAAATTAGGTCAATCCACCAAAAAGGCTGCTGATTAAGAATTCACACTCAAACAGTTTGACTAGAGTCTTAGAGCATGGTCATTTACTAACATTCCTGTCAGCCAGCACAGCTCATTATCAGAAAGTTCTAAGAAGAGTACACAGTATCAACCATCCTTAAATTTTTTGTAGGACTGGCTGGCAAACTATAGCCTAAAGACCAAATCTAGTTCACGGGCTGATTTCACAAAGTTTTGTTGGGACCCAGGTACAGATACATTTACCTAATGTCTGGTGCTTTGGCACTAAAATGGACAGGCTGAATAGTTGTAGTCTTAAAATATCTGCTATTTGGATCTTTATGAAAAATTTGCCAACCTATTACTGAAAGTAAACAAACTTTACCCAGAGCAGTTCTCCTCTTGTAGGACAGAAGACCAAGAAAAGTTGGGCCTGCCTCAGGGCTTTGCAGGTCTTTGCTCTGGGGTTCAATTGGAGAGACACCCTCTTACTGAATTTTGGTTCTCTGCTTCACGTCTTTTTATAAAAACTTTGAAAATAAAAGCTTTTAAATTTTAAAGCTAGGCATGGTGATACACCCCTTTAATCCCAGCACTCAGGAGGCAAAGGCAGGAGGGGCTCTGTGGGTTCAAGGCCAGCCTAGTCTACATAGCGAGTTCCAGGCCAGCCTGGGGCTACAAGGAGACCCTGTCTCAAAAATACGAAAAGAAAGCTTTTACTTTTTCCAAATGTCAAGTTAAAGAAATTGTGCATCATTCTCACAACCCACTAGTGCAAACTGGGTTCAGATCCTATGTTTAGTTAGAACATAATAAAGTCTGGGAAGAAACCTCTACTCTTCATATAAATAAGCTGTTCAGTTCTGTGGAACAAAAGATGCAATGACAGAAAGCATGAAACCTGGTGGGAGGGCAGTGGGGGGTTGCAGGCAGGGGAAGGGTAGGTCTAAATATGATTAAAATAGATTGTATTAAACACAAAAATTCAATAAAAGTATACTTTTAAAAAATTAAAGGTGTAATGCAGTGAGGAGAGTCTGGAGACACGTTGGCTTTGCAGACATGGAAGCTAGGAGGACACACCAATCTCCTGAGGGGTGCTTGCTGTTTTAGCTGGGTCCCAACCTAGCCCTGGCTTACCCTTGTTCTGCCCTCCATCCACACAACTCTCCCTCAGCAGCCATGGCAGAATACGCCAAGTAGAGGGGTAACTAAGCCCATACTTTGAAACTGAGCACTCTCAAAGCTACACTGCCCCACAAATCACACCACATAACATGAGGCTATGTTCACTGTAATTAAACTCAAAATTCAGTTCCTCAGTTGCACTGGACATGGTTTAAATATTCAGTAGCTACTTACAGCTAGTGGCCACCATGTTGGACAGCACAGATATGGAGCACTTCCATCATCACAGGGTTCCTAGCAGTGCTGCTCAACATTGACAGTGTCAAGAGGCATCCTGAGCACACATTAGAGGTTGTGCCAGGGGTGGCTCTCAGGCTCAATCATAATGAAAATTAGTTTAACACCTGACTGTTCCTTGCCACCTGCAGAGAACTAGCTAATTACCCTCACCTGGCTAATAACTTTCTCAAACTAAATAACCTTTGTGTGCAAAAGGGTGGGGAGGGCTTAGTTTTGAATTTTTTCTTTGTTTGCTTATTTTTTCCTTTTCAATTCAAAACACCTTTCAGCCTCTAACCAATTATTAAACTCTCTCCACTTCTTTCCAGGTGAAAACAACTAACACAGAAGCCACAAAACAGGAACTACTGGTCTAGAACCGCTTCCTTCTGAGCTCCCAGTCAGGACATTAGAACCCAGGCCACCTCAGTGTGTATGTGAGTGTATGTGTATGTGTGCAACAGGGCCTGAGATTGGAAAATAGGGACTCTGCTGAGGCCAGGCAAGTAACCAGCTGTGTCAGCTGGTTCTTCTACACATCTCTATCTTCTCCTGGGTCCAAGGCCCTGAGAACCTCGGCCTCCTGCCTCCTACACAGGGTTAAGCCAGAGCCCTAGGCATGTCCTGGCCTGCTCCCCATTTCCAATAAGGAGTGTCATTAGTCACAATGGCAGCAGTAATGACAATCCCACTACAGCCCCATTCCAGACAGAAGCTCCCAGCATCCAACAACCAGCAGCTGTAACACCTACGGGCAAAGGAGTAGCTGAGCAGCACGATGCTGAAAGGAGACCAGAGGGGTTGAGACCAACTGAAACAGAGCACATCTCACGCCAATAGCTTCTACAAGCACAGAGGTGGCCTTTAGGGACCACTATACCCAAGCCAGCAGTTGCCTTTTATAGGAATATCCATCCCCAAGGCCTGTGAGAAGTAGAGGGAGGACAAAGATTTTTTCCTTAAAGCCTTGATGACTAGAAGAGCTGTCCTTTATTGGGACCAGAGCTGGATGCCAAGAAAGGTCTGGCCACCCAACCCTGGGTCAATCCAATGCTCTTCTGGGTTTACTGGTCAGCTATGCATGGAGTAGCATCTCCTTCCTTGCCATCTACTCCTGTTGCTAGGGGTGACTTGGCTGGTATCTGTTCATATACTTCCTACCCTGAACTAGAGGTCCCTGGTGGGAAAGGTGCAGCTTGAGGCACGGAGCACAGGGACCAGAAATGAACCCCAGGCTTCTACTATGTGCCCCACCAGGGGAGGCAACAGGAAAACAGGTGGGCAAGAAGCCAACTGATGTGCAGGAATGGGAACCTGAGCCTGAAGGAAGCCAGTGCTCCCTACTTTTGAGCCTGAGGCTCTGACTCAGGGCTGCCCTGGGCAGTGGCTGGTCCCTAGCTCCACCTCCCTGAGACACGGCCAGGGCCAAGGCAAGAGACTAGGGGCAGGGTTGAGCCCTGGGCACAGTGCAATAGGGAAGAATTGGAGGCTGCAAGTCCTGACCTGATGAGCAGAATTTGGGTCAGAGCAAAGGAAAACAGTCCCACCTTAGGGATCAAAAGCACTTGCTAGAAGCTAACCAGACTGGACAAACTGAAGTCATATAGCTGGCTCTATATGACTATATGTGGTACTGAAGTACCCACAGCCTCATCTCTGGGTGGGGACCTGGCTGAGCTACAGTCCCAATGAGGCAAAGCAAAGTAGTGAAAGGAACCACTCCTGACCAAGGAAGCTGCAGATACTGAAGGGACTGTGGGGGTACAGCTGGATTTCAGCCTAACCCATGAGTAAATGGCACTGAATCAACCCAATGATCGGCTATGCAGAGCAACAGCCAGTTCCTGAGCTGCAGATCCTAAGACAGAGGAAAGTACATAATCGTGGAGCCTCTCACAATTATCCTTAGGTATTGCATACCCTAAAGATAAGCCATCACTTTGTGGGGCTGGGCTACTCCAGTTAAATAAACCCTCAGATTAAGATCAAGGTCAGCAGAGGAATGCCTCCTGTCTAGGAAGTCTTGAAAGTGGTGTACTATGTGGGAGATGCAGAAGGAGGGAGCAGGAATTAGATGGGGAAGGTCTCACAGTTTAGAGAAGGCTTGCCGGGGTGCACAGGATGGACCCAGAAAGGATTGCCCAACTGGAGCTAATGTGGAACATCAACACAGGTGCTGGCCAAATGCAAATGCATTAGCATAGAGCTGCACTGGTTACCCCACCAGAGCTGTGTAAACCCTGCACAGCTTGGGACACCGAACTCACCTCTGCCCAGAGAAGGTTCGGTGGTGGGAGGGGGCTCACTGTTGCGCTGCCGCTCACCCAGGCACCGTTGCAGTTCTCGAAGCTTCTTTTCCTCCTGCAATGCAGCGTGCTTCCGCTGCCGGCGTGCTTGTCTGCTGAGGTTCTCCTCTGCGCACAGTCGTCGGGCTGCCTCGGTGATCTGCAGCTGCAGGGCCAACTGGCGCTCCAGGCCACTCAAGGGGTCCTGAGGGAGGGGCCGAAAGTGAGCGTCTAGAGAGGTTGATGCACAGGGGCAAAGGATGTGCAATAGCCCTGACCCAGTGCTGTGCAGATAGCAGTGTCCAGGAATACACAGCAAAGGGTGGAGTGCTGTGCTGGGCAGAAATTTAAGTGGGGCACTTTCCTTCCCGACCCCAAAGGGCTGAACAGGTCAGCCAATGGGAAACCCCACCATTCTCATCGTTCTCGAGGGGCACCTAGGTCAAAGCCACCCCCACCTCCTGAGACCTAGGGCCAGACCAAACTGCCTGCCCAGACAACTACCTCTTTGGGTTGGTGACTGGCACTCTTAACTGATCCTCTGCCCATTAGAAACAAACCCAGTGTCCTCCCTTGAGATTCCAGCTCTCCAACTCCTGAAGTTGCATGAGTAGTCACAGCTCTCTGGACTACCCATGAGGAAACACAGGTAACATGACCAGCACCTACACTGGATGCAGGAGATGGCCAGGGCTCTGGACTGCCTCAGTAGTCATCAGTTGGGGAATAAGAGACAGCAAGTCTCTGACCTGCCTTACCTCTCTGTGCAGGGCCCATTCATCCAGTTTGTATGCTGCACCAATCCTGCGGCGGACCTTGGGGGCCTTCTCACCTGGCTTAAGGGGATACTCTGCTGGCAAAGTACCCGTCAGCTCCTGGGGGTTTGGGGAAGGGCAGAGTTAAGCTAGACCCCTCTCTACTTGCCCAGCCCTTGGTCAACTATTTGAAGCCTGCTCTCTAGCTCTATATTGCACAGGCCCGACCTTCCAGTAACTCTTGCACCCCTGCCCACTGCTTACCTCATCCCACCATCCCACAGCTGTCTTCTCTTTCCTGTCCCTGGGGCACACTCTGAATTCTCTTGCCTTTCCCTTCTCATCTTCTCAACCCCTCTATAGCCCCTTGACCCCTCATCTCTTCATGCCCTTTACTTGGACCCCTGCCCAGTTCTAACTGGATTCTACCCAGTGTCCAGGTCAAACCCCACATCAGAGAGACTCTAGGCCCAGACCTCTATCTGATTTCCAGAATCCTGTCAAAGAATGGGGCTTTCCCCCTGGCCTCAATATCCCAAAACATGGCTCCAGGACTCCTCAGATGAACCCTAAGTTTGTGGAGGCATGGACTCTGGGGCCTCACCGCTTCCCTCAGACAGAGCCTACGAAGCTCCTCTAGGCAGGCCTCCAGTCGGGCTTCCAGGGCCCTCTGCTGCTTGCGCATGGCATGGGTCAGCTCCTTCATTGGAGAAACAGGGCTGTCGGGGCCTGCAGGAGGATGAGGGGGTGCTTGCTCAGGAAAGCTGAGGCAAGACACGTCCCTTGGACACTGTCGACCACCTCTAGGGGAGTACACACCCATACATGGTCTCATGCCTGCGCACAAATTACAGGCTAGTTGCTGTGGCCTGTGTCACAGCCCCAAAACACCATGTCTCCTGGCTGCACAAAGGAGACAACATGATAGCTCAGAGAGAGGGCTGTCCCATCAGGTGACCCACCATGGGGGAAGGGCTCCTTTTCCTCCCTTTCTCTCCCTCCCTTAGACACACACACATACACACATACACACGCCTGTCCTCTATCAAAACCAGGCCAGATTAGACCCACAGGCTCAGGCTGGGTAGAGATAGGACATTAACACTAGCTAGATAAGAGTTTTCAAATTCTTAGTAATCACTAGAGCTAAAATTGGACATGGCAGATCCTTGTTCCAGTTAGGACAGAAACTCCAGGCCAGTGCCTTCCAGAAGGGAAAACTATTTCCTTGAGGCTCCAGTCCTTCCAGTCTCCTTACTTCCCCAGAAGCATCTCCATTCTCTCCTTCCCCAGGCCCCTGGGAGTTTTAACCTAGCAAGCCCAGGGCCCTAGGGCCTCTCTCTGGAGTCAGAGCAGGGCAAGGGTCAGAGGCCAGGGCAAGGGGATTTCCAGACCCACTCACCAGACTGCAGGATGATGCCGCTGTCAGTGTCACTGACCTCATCTTTAATCTCCATGATGAGTCTCTGGGAAGAGGGGGCACAGAGGAGGGAGGGGCTGTGCCAGTCCCAGCCTGGGCCAGAATGTGTAGGTAGCCTGGAGTTCCCCCAGCTTTTAAGAGAAGAAAACAACCAAAACCTTCTATGATCCCCTGTGGCTCAGTGCTTGAGCATGGGGGAGTGGAAGTGAGACTGTGCTTCTGGAATGATCTGGGGTAAGGGGTTCATTCTCAGATTCCTCTCTTGGGGAGCACTGGGGGGTATGCAGCCTAGTTCTCCATTGGATCTCCTTCTAAGAGAGGCCTCTGGAACCAAGTACTCTGAGGCTACTCAGGTCGACTGCAGTGGTGGCCATAAAACTGAGAGTGGGGGCTGGAGAGATGGCTCAGCAGTTAAGAACACTGGCTATTCTTGCCAAAGACCAGGATTCAAATCCCAGCACCCACGTAGCAGCTAACAATTTTCCCTAACTCTAGTTCCAGGGGATCTGACAGTCTCTTCTGTCCTCTGCAGGCACTGCACGACACAAGTGCACTTATGTACATGCAGGCAATACACACGTACACATAAAATAAAAATAAAAATAAATTAGATTTATTTAAAAAAAAAAAAAACAGAGTGGGAACCACAAGGAAAAAACAATGAAAAGAAGGGGCCAGAAGATGGGACAGGAAGGCAAAGCAAGGAGAGGAAAGGAGGAAGAGGAAGAGGTCTTCACAGGGAATGGCCATCCTCAGCTTGTCAGCTTGAGAGGCATGAGGTATGTCCTACTGCCCCAGTGGCTGAACATACTGCAAGAAATGGCTGGACAGCGAGCGAGTACAAGGCCAAGGCTGGACTAAGCCCCAAAGACCAAGTCATTCTACTCTCACCTGTAGACAGGGGCAAGCACTTCTGTGCCTGACAGCTGTCCTGAAGCCCAAGCCACTAACTCTATCTAGACCTCTCAAGGGGTCTACCCTCCATCCCACATCTAGGACCAGGTGGTTCTGTTGGGACTGATGAGAATTAGGCATGGGGACAGTGATAGTAGAAGCTGCCAATGACAGAAAGGAAAACACCTGCTCCTTTGCCTCCATGGGGCTGGATGGCACTTGAGTGGTGAAGATATAGCCCAGTGTACCAGTCACCCAAACACCACCTGTGACCGCCCCTTCTCTCCTCCCCAAACCTATACCCTGGTGGGGTCCCAGCTGGCCAGGGCTGGAAGCTGCTGGCTGGAGAAGAGGTGGGGAGGGATGGGTGGAGCCCGGCTGGAAGGAGAGGCCAGCCACCTCCTCACTGAGTCAGCCCATTGAGCAAGAGTCCAAAAGTCCTTCAGAGTTTCTGTCTGGAGCTTATCCTGCTGCCTCCTCAGAGCACCAGGCTGTAGGGAGAGGGAGATGGGTTCTGCCCCTGTGAGACAGACAGCAGGACAGAATGGTGGTCCTTGGAAGAGCTGACCACAAAGAGAAGCAAGAGGGCCAGGGGAGGGAGGTGCTGAAAGCTTAACTTCCCTAGTACCTCTACGGTCTGAACATGAAAGAGCAGGAGGAGAAAAGAATTTCACACAGACCTGGGTAAACAGCACTGCTTATCGATGTACCAAGAACAGCAACAGTTAAAACCATGGCCCTGGAACCAATGTTTACTTTGCACTTTGGAATTTCAATTTTCCAAGCAAGTCTAGAGAATGCACTCAAGAATAAAAGAAATAAAAGTTCATGCGGGTTTACAAACACCAAAGAGAGAGATTGGCCATTTAATCCCTGGAACCTCGGGGAAGTTAGGGTGACTGTTAGTTCAAACTGCCTATGTATCTCAAATTCTTATTCTTCCTAGGACAGAAAGGAGCAGATGACTGGGTCTCCCACCCACCCTGGGCAATCTTTGACCCTCCCCAGAAGCAAGACAAGCTCAGTTTGAACTAGGAAGCAGGACAGAGTCCCTACAGCCGGCACCAGACAAGCTCAGTTCAAACTAGGAAGCACGACCATACCTGGAGCCTTTTGCTTTGGACAAAGGGAGAAGTGGGAGGGGAAGCCATCAATTAGTCACACTTGCTGATTAATTATTAACCACTAAGGACTTGCCTTGAAAGGTTGGGACAACTCAGCCCCTGCCTCTCTGGAACTCCTAGACTGTGGCGGAAAAGTGGCGAATTCTGAACTAAAGGAGCGCCTCAGCAAGTCTCTCTCCTCCAGCTTCCCTCTCCCCCAGGGTCCGGGCAGAAGCCCCCATATTCACAGTGGACCCAATATGATGCTGGGTGGGCTTCCTGGTGGTCCAAGGAAGGCAAAGAGCACAGACCCAGAGCTCTGGATTCAAGGCTCAAAATGTGCCACTGCCCAAAATGCCTGAGGAAAGTTCCTGGTCTCCTAAGCCTCCTTTTCCTCATATGGACAATGAAGATTAGACAGGCCTAAGGTCCTCCCTGTCTGAATTAGGACCTTCTGGGCATTACCAGCCTGAAAAGGACAGGCACACAGACACAGAACACAGCCCACTCACCAGCCCTACACAGCCCTCCAGTGTGGGGAACCTGCCTGAGTCCACAGCAACAGTCCTGGCCCTGTCCCCACTCCCACCCAGGAGAACAAGCAGGAGTCATAAGAGTGGAAGTATTGCTTTAGATAAAGGCATTCCAGGTAACATCCCCACCCCCTCCTCAACCCAGGAGTCTGTCTGCCCTGCTGGCCAGCTAAGCCATCCCAGAAACTGCCCACCTGGCTGAACAGCAGCCTGCCTGCCTGAGCCACATCTCCAGAGAAAGCCAGAGGGGAAAAGACAGGGTTAGAGGGACAAGGGGAAACTAGCACACCTGCCCCAGGGAAGTGGTTTGGGATCCTCCCATCACAAGTGTGCCCCCAAAGCCAGGTCCTCTCTGTCCCAGCTCATCTCTGCTTGCTCTTTGATGGAAGCTAAGGCCTGCTCACAGAGACAGGGTCCTTGTTTCCAAGCCCCTCTTATCTCTAACCGACATGAGCTAGAGGTGGGGGAAACGATAGCCATGACTGACCTGGGTTCCCTCCATTCCCTGGTCTCCCTGCCGCTCAATACCGGACTGGCCTCATCTTGCCCCATCCTCACCTGCTCTCAATTTGGAGTCCAGTTCCTGGAAGACCCCCCTACTCCCAAGTCAGGGGGTTGGGGCGCCTTGCATGCCGCCTCAGGGTCTCCCAGGCCACAAGCCGGCCAACTTATGTTCTTGCTGGGACCACACGCTGGCTCTCCACACGCTACTAGCTGTCCCTGGCCCTCCCTCTCATCAAGTCCCGCCTGCCTGCTGTCCCTCCCAGGCTGCTGGGCCAGGGGAACCAGGTTACTTGTTATGACTTGAGTCAGAGGGGAGGAGCAGGTGAGCAAGTCCTTCCCTGAACTAATCCCGCAGCCTGTTGCCAGCAGGCAGCTCCTAGGCCTCTGCACTTCCGGAGCTGAGGGGAGCAGGGAAAAGGGGCTCCCCAAGGAGGAATCCCAGAAAGCAGTGGCAGTCAGCTCTCTGTGGTCACAAGGAACCCTGACGCAGTATGCTGAGCTGTGTGTGGTATCTCAGTGCCAGCCTGTCCTGTCTGGCTCTCCCTACCTTCCTTGTACCCCCAGCTTCTTTCTAGAAATGAGGAATGTTAAAGCCCCAAAACAAGGTAAAAAGTTCACTGTCCACAGGGAACAGCAGCAGGAAAGCTACAGACTGACAGGTCACTGCTGTCCTCATATACAGGAAGGAAGACCACAGCCTGAATTTTGTCTCTCCCAGTTTAGGATTTTAAAATGTGGCAGGCACCTGTATCATCTGTGGTCCCAGCAATTTGGAATCTGAGGCAAGGAGGATGGCTTGAGCCCAGGAAGTCAGGGCCAGCCTGGGCAGCACAGCAAGATGCCATCTCAAAAAATATTCTGAAAAACAAACCAGCTGTGAGCTGACATAGCTCACTGGTAGCGTGCAAACCAGAAGACCTAGGTTTAAAACTCAGCACCTAAATAACAAACAAGCAGAAAGGCTGGGACTGCTGAGGCAGAGACTGCAGGGTGCTAGAGATGGAGGACCAAGTTGTTTTCTTCCTATTCCAGACATCTACCCCAGCAGCATCAAGACTGTCGCTTCCCTATCTACATCCAACCCCCAGCAATGCTGTCCATGGGTCACTGACCAAACACAGTCCAGTCATCCCTTAATCCATAGAAGAGCCACCGTAACGTCCAATACTTAGCATACTCTCCAAATGCAAGGTGCCGGTCCCTAGAAAAAACATTAAGCCTCCAGACTTTCCAGCCCATTGACTTGTAAGCAAATGAAAACTTGCTTAGAATCCAGTCTGGTTTAGAGTAGTGAGCAGAGCTAAGGAAGACTGTTGCCTGTTCCCAGAGTCTAGAATAGATATATGCAGCAGACTACTACCTTCCATCCTCCATCTCTGGGAATCTCACCTCCAGATCCCAGCATTCAATATATACCTCTGTTGCCCCCTTCCCCCAGCCCCTAAGGAGCTCTGTCCCCAGTCCCTAAGTTCTGGTCCCTAAACGCACTGCCAAGCATCTCCTAAGCAGAGCTATGTCACAGTCTGCCACCATCCTTCACTAGCAACTTCATTCCTCCCATACACAGACCCCTCCACACCTTCACATTCCTGTACACACCCTCTTTCCAAACAATGCTAGCCCCAGAGTACTACAGGTTGACCACCTCCTCCTCTCCCCCAGCCGAGGCCAAGGGGCCCTAGCAGGGGATAGTCCCTCCACACTGTGGGGAGCAAGCTCTCTGGGCCTTCCAAAGAACCCACAGCCTTTCCCATCCCCCAATCCTCCTCCTATCCCCCAAATCCGCCACAATACTGCAGTCTCTTCCCATCCTCCAACAGGTTTGCACTTTCTACTAGTGTCATAGAGGGGTTGACTCAGGGCTAAAGCAGCTTTGGTCCATCTCCCAGCTACAACTGGGGAAGGCAGTGAAATTTCTAGAATCAGTTAATTAGCTCAGTTTCTAAAGCATAGAATAAAGAGACCAATTATGAGAATCAATTATGCCAAAACACAGTTCCAAAACCAGAAAAACATAACATACATGCTTCTTTACATTAAACAGGACCCAGCCATGGGTCATTTAACACACTGATGGGTGAAAATATTTCTACATAATTGCAAGGTAATAGGAAACGGAATTTGTGCAAAAGTCACAGGTACTATGATTCTACTGCAGCTTATGGTATAAGTTTTTATTAAAGTGTGGTAGAGGGCTGGAGAGATGGTTCAGTGGTTAAGAGGTTATGAGCTGCTCTTGCAGAGGACCTGGGTTTGGTTGCCAGCACCCACATGACAGCTAACAGTCAGTAACTCCAGTTCCCAGGGGATCTGACACCCTCTTCTGGCCTCCGCAGGCATTACATGCATGTAGTACACTTACATACATGCGGGCAAAACACTCATACACATAAAATAAGAAATTAATTAGCCTGGCATGGTGGGCACATGCCCAGCACTCAAGCAGAGGCAGGTGGATCTGTGAGATCGAGGCCAGCCTGGTCTCCAAAACAAAAACAAAAAACTAACTAATTTAAAGAGTAGTAAAAAAAAAAAAAAAAAAAAAAAATTTTTTTTTCCCCTTTCCCCAC